TGGGCACATGGATGATAACTGAGTCACGTGACCCTGCCTAGTACAAGGGAGGCTGGGACGTGTGTGGTTGGGTCTGCCAGGTTCAGCTGTAGCCCTGCTCCCCAAGGTGGCAGAAGAGGGGTGTGGATTCGGGGGCCACCCCATTGGTGTTCAGTGCCTGCCAGAGACGCTGCTCAGCTTCCCTGCTCCTGGGGTTTTGGGATCTTCCTGTCCTCACCTTTGTCCTCTCAGAGCTCCAGAAAGGCCCTCGTGGTCCTGGCTCTGAAGACTGCTCCTGCCTGGGACCCTTCTTGCCCCGCCCTCATAACATCCCCGCCTCTATCTGCCCTTCGAGGTCCTGCTCATCCTGTCCTGGCGCCTCTCCCCATGGGAGCTCAGAGACCTCCTGCACCCTGGGGTCTCAGCTGCCCCTCCCTCAGCATGGAGGGCCGGAAGAGCTCAGCAGCGCTGGCCGGCTCTACCCACGCCTTAGCCGATGGCTGTGGCCCTGATGGCGGGCACACCCCACCTGTGACCTGTGGTCCCGATGCTGAACAGGCTGTGCTCTGAGCCATGTGCACCGGCGAGCCACCTGTGGGAGGGACACACGCTCATGTCAACATGCATTGTACTGCACGCCCAGCAGACGGGATCAAACTGCATTGCATTGGGCGGGGGAGGGGCATGGTGACTGCTGTCTCTGGCATGATGGGGGTACTCCCGGTGCCCGTGGGATCAAGATCAGCTGCCACTGGCTCATTCTCTGCACCCTCACTGCGCCTCCAGGGCTCCAACCTCACGGACATCTGCACCCAGCTCCTCCTGCAAGGCACGCTGCTGAAAATCTCCGCGGGCAACATCCAGGAGCGGGCCTTCTTCCTCTTCGACAACCTCCTGGTCTACTGCAAGCGGAAGTCCAGGTGAGGCCCCGGGGGCGAGGCTGCCGCCAGGTGAGGCCTTGGGCTCCTCACCTCCCACTGTGCCACTGCCCCTTCTGTGAGTCAGGATTCTCGGTCACTGATGTCAGCAGAAACATTGCCAGTTGCGTGGTTTGTGTTCTGGTAGCCACGTTAAAGCAGCAGCCTTGTAGGTGAAATAGTATTTTTATTTAACCTAATATGTCCTCAAATACTATGATTTTTTTTTTACTTTATGTGTATATACATATATATGGTAATAGCCTGTTATATAAATATCAACATATTTTGTATTCTGTTTTTCTGTACATAAAGTCTTCAAAACTCTGGTGTTTATGTTACCCTCATAACATCTCAATTTGTTGCAACTACGTTATTTTTAAAAGATTTATTTATTTATTTGAAAGAGAGAAAGAGAGAGAGAGAGATGGAGAGAGAGCTTCCATCTACTGGTTCACTTCCCAGATGGCTACAATGGCCAGGGCTGGGCCAGGCCAAAGTCAGGAGCCAGGAGCTTCATCCAGGTCTCCCATGTGGGTGCCAGGGGCCCAATCACTTGGGCCATCTTCCGCTGCTTTTCCCAGGCCATTAGAGGGAGCTGAATTGGAAGGGGAGCAGCTGGGATACAAACCGGTGCCCGCATGGGATGCTGGCTTGCAGGTGGTGGCGTTTCACACTATACCACAACACCATCCCTCCCAGGCATATTTTAAAAATATTTATTTTTTTGAAAGGGAGGGGCGGAGAGACAGAGATAAAGAGATCCCCACCCATCCACTGGCTCACTCCCCAAATGGCCACAATAGCCGAGACTGGGCCAGGCTGAAGCCAAGAGCCTGGAATTCCATTCAGGTCTGGCACGTGGGTGGCAGGGGCTCAGGTACTCGGTCCTTCCTCCACTGCTCTCCCAGGCGCATTAGCGGGGAGCTGCATGGGAAGCAGAGCCGCCGGGACTCACACTGGCACGTGGCAGGGGATGCTGGTGTCACATGCTCCCCCCAACCCTGGCCCTGTTTTATGTGCTCAGGAGCCACTTGTGGCCTGTGAGCGCCACGTTGGACAGTGCAGGTGTAGGTGATTGCAGAACTCTGGTGGGCTTGGTGGCACCTGTGGCAGGTGCCAGGTAAGGGCTTGGAGGGGGGGTCTCTCACCCTTAGGCTTCAGGGGTGGGGGATGTGTTCCCTGTCATCTTCGCGTCACCTTTCTCCAGAGTGTCTTGCCTTCTGTAGTGTCTGGGGTTGGAGTGTGGGTGGGCGAGCAGGTAGATGGACGCTGTGTGTTTACAGGGGTAAGTGAGAGTGGGTGGGATGAAGGCAAAGGGCAGCAGTGGGGTGGGGGAGGGTTGGGGGTCGTTTGGGAGATGAGTAGATGATGGGGACAGGGAGGGAAAGGATGTGGAATATGGGTGCGAGTAGGTGAGGGGGTGAGTGAGGGGTGAGTGAGTGGATTTGCATCTGGAGGTTTCTGACCATGCTGAGTACAGGACGGGGAGCAGGAGAGCTGGGGAATGTATGAATGTGCGGGTAATAGAGAAATGATACGGAGACTGGCAGTGGTGCGGAGAGGTGCACGCTGGGCTGGGCCTTATTGTACGGTTTGCTGAGTGCATGGGTAGCTGGGTGGGTGGTTGGAGGGTATATAATTGGGGGTGGTGGGTGAATGAGGTTTGGAGATTAGTGGATGAGTGGCAGTTGGATGGGCATGATTGGTTGATGGTTGCCAAGATGGTTGTTCTCCACTGTGGAAAGTGGGGTAGGGACTGGCGCTGTGGCATAGCAGGTAAAGCCTATAGTGCTCCCACCCCATATAGGTGCCAGTTCTATTCCCGGCTGCTCCACTTCTGATCCAGCTCCCTGCTAGTGCGCCTGGGAAAGCAGCAGAAGACAGCCCAAGTGCTTAGACCCCTGCACTTATGTGGGAGACCTAGATGAAGCTCCTGGCTCCTGGCTGCTGGCTTGGGCTTGGCCCAGCCCTGGCTGTTGCAGCCATCTGGGGAGTGAACCAGCAGATGGAAGAATCTCTCTCCTTTCTCTCCCTTCGTCCCTCTCTGTAACTCTGCCTTCCAAATAAAACAACTTTTTTTTTTTTTTAAAGTGGGATAACTGGATGGTTGAGTAGCTGGGTGAATGGGTGGCTGGACAGTGGGGGAGTTAGGAAGAGGGGGGATTTGCAGATGAACAGGCGTGGGACAGATGGGTGGACGGAGAGGCTCCTTCCCGCCGGTCCTGCTCGGCAGGTGGAGAATGCTCTCCATTGGCTCAGGTGTCCCTTTTCCCATCCTCTTTGCCATTCTTCTGTCTGAGGAATGACACCGCGACATTCTGGAAGCTTCTTTACTCCTTTATTCAGCAGAGGCTGGGACTGAGGACTAGGGGCCAGGCGGGGCCCTCCTTGAGCCTGGCCGTCCCACTGTCTCGGATTCCTGGTCTGTGTCTCCCGGCCTGCTCAGGCTGTGGCGAGGCGAATGATGTGCGTTCCTGCATGTGTGTGGGCTTCTCGCCACTCCCTGTGCAGTGGGCCTCAGTGTTCCCTTCCGTGAAAGGGGACGACAAGCTCCTCCTCTCAGTGGTGTTTGCTTCACAGCTGGGCCCCTCGTGATGGGCCCCCTGGGCAGCCCCTGGCTCGCTCAGTGACTTCCCTCTCTGCCGGACTTTCCTTGTCTTACAGCAGGGCAAGTTGCTATGTGTGTCCCGTGGGTCCCATGTGCATGCTTGGCCAGCAGTCCTGCAGCTGGGAACTGACCTGCACGCGCAGGTGGCTGCTTTCTATGTGTAGTACCAGGGACTTAGTGGTCAGGACATGGCAGTCACTGAAGCACAGCCCCGGCCCCTCTGCGGGGACCTCCGTCTCCCTGCTTCCTTGGCTTCCAGGGGTGGCTCCACATGTCTCTGGCCCGTTTGCTGTTTCGTTCTCTCCTGCTCCTGATGGCCTTCCCATCCGCCACAAATACTCCCTTCCCCTGGCTCCCTGTTTCCTCTTCATTCTCCCTCGGGTCCTTCTGGGGGTCTCCTCTGGCAGCGCTTGGGCTGCTGCCCGTGCCCACCCAGCCCTGGACTGTGTGACACAGGCACAATCCCAGAACCCCAGGCTTTAGGAGACAGTGTCCTCACTCCCAACCTGGGGCTGAGGCAGCCCAGCCACTGGCTTCCCCGTATCAGGTGCCGTGGCCTCCGGAACGGCATCCCCTGCGGGGGAGTGGGTGGTGGACTCCCACAGAGTCGTTTCTCCCTGTGGCCATGCGAGCTCCTTCAAGGCCCCCCGTGCTTCAGCTCTGGGGGTGAGCTGGGACAAGGCCCATCTGTCTCCTGGGAAGGCCTGGCAGGTGGCCGGTGGGAGCCAGGGATGGAACTCGAGGGGATAACCTCCCCTTGCAGCTTGGCTGCACTCACCAGCAACGCTGGAAGTGGCCGGTTTTGTCGCAGGGCGGGTCACATGGGCACCACTTTCGTGGGACATGGGTCATGGGAGGCCTCCCTCGCACAGTGCCTGGGGCAGCTTCAGGAACAGAGGCTCCTGGGATATGGGAAGCGGAAAGGGGAGTGCTTCTCAGAGCCCATCCCAGCGTGCTGCATGGGAGCTGAGGCCGAGAGCGAGGTCTCCTCCATCTCAGAGCCCGTCCCAGCGTGCCGCATGGGAGCTGAGGCCGAGAGCGAGGTCTCCCCCATCCAGAGCCCGTCCCAGCGTGCCGCATGGGAGCTGAGGCCGAGAGCGAGGTCTCCCCC